ACTTACTCCTTGCCAGGATGCTCTGCCTTCCACCAACCAACCAGAGACTGAAACTTCTCAAACTGAACCAAAATAAATCTCTCCTCCTTAAAAGTTGATTGTGATCGCTGATTGTGTCAACCTGAGTACAAAATGCCCAGCAAAATTGGGTCAGCACAGTTCTGCTGTAGGGAAGGGATTCACTGAGGACAGAAGGCCACTCTGGGTGTGGGTGGCTCCAACCACCAGGCTTGTTACCAGAGTGGAATAAAAAGGAAACGAAGAAGGAAGGCTGGCTTCTGTGTCTCCAGAGGAGCACCTGTCCTCACCCTCACCTGGGACATCACCTCCTGGCTTCCAGCCAGACCCTTTGGCCTCCTGATGCGGACCTGCGTGGGACACCCTGAGCTCCGGGTCTCCGGCTGCGTCCTTTGGATCTCCAGTGCAGACGGCCTCTTGCACTCTTCCATACCCATCTCTGGGGGAGGTTAGCATAAGCTGATCTTGCAGATTTGTATATATTTGTATATCTTGCATAAATCACATTCTCTAGCCAGTACTGACTAACACATTAATTATCTCAGAGAATTTTATGATAGCAACAAAAAGCTGATGCACAAACTCATTGTATTTCATCTTGAATTTTCTTTATTCTCCTGAGACCAACTGAGATTTATTTGGAAAAACAGTGCTTTCACCTTGCCTGTGAGTTGTGATAAGACCACCAGTCTGCCATGGAAGTCATACTGTGTGTGCGTGCACACACATGTAACACCATATACACATCTCTATCCCTCTTCATGAGTGGACTCTGGGCCATGGGCCAAGACTTGAACAAATGTCTAGGGGTTTAAGAATGTCATGTTAAGCCAAACGTGGTGGTGCACTCCTATAATCCCAGCACTCAGGAGGCTGAGGCAGGAGGGTCTTTGTGAGTCCAAGGAGGCCAGCCTGTGGTACAAAGTAAGCTCAAGACCAGCCGAACTTCATAGGGAGACTCTTTCTCAAAAAGACAAAAAAAAAAAAAAAAAAAAAAAAAAAATAAGGCCAGGAATTTAGCTCAGCGGCATAAGTCCCTGCCTTGCAATTGTGCAGTTGTGAGTTCTATCCCCAGTACCAAAAAAACCCAAAAAAACAAAAAAACAAAAAAAGAATGTCATATTCTTCATCCTTTGAGAGAGACAGTAAACAGGTAAGTGTTCTCTCAAGTTCTTCACACCATCGCACTGTGGAAAAAAGGCCATCAGCTTGAAGAGGCCTACTGCACACGCCCATGACCTCAGCACAGATGGAGCCCAGTGAATGGAGAATGAGTCTAGGGGTCAGAAATATATCTCTGCCATGTAAGAGTCTGCCTGGCAAGCACAAGGTCCTGAGTTCAGTACAAAAAAAAAAAAAAAGAAAAAAGAAAGAAAGAAAAAAGAACAAATGAATCTATAAATTTCTTGGCCTGGAACATTGTGATGACATCTTACGCCTTACTAATGCTCTACTTTTCAGCTACAAGAAAGCTCAGTGGAAAAAGAGAGGAGAAATCACTGAGTAAAATGTCTCCATAGGTCTTTTCCCTCCTGACTTCCACATTCTTTTGCAGGGCTGATCTGTGTAATAATAAGGCATCACATAAATGATGGGGTATGACTTCCCAGAAGACACTGCAACTTATGCCTTGTTTCTCATGGATCTTTTTTTTTTTGTCTTTTTAATTTTTATCGGTACCGGGGATCGAACTCACAACTGCCTGCTTGCAAGGCAGGCGCTTATGCCGCTGAGCTAAATCCCCAGCCCCTCTCATAGATCTTTTACTTGGGGAAGTCAGCTACCCACAGTGTGAGAACACTCAGACAACCTGGAGGCCCAACTTGTGACCTGAGACCTCCTGCCAACTTGCCACCCATATAAGCTCGGTGGTTCTTTCAGCCTATTACATACTGGCTTCTCCCAGAAGGAGACTGAGAAGAGAAACAAATAATTTAATAATTTCTTCTCTCAAAAATGAAATATCTATGTTAATAACCACCAAGAAAGGAATTTCTTTTCTGAGACAAAGTCTCACTTTGTAGTTCAGGCAGGCCTTGAACTCACTTTGTAGCCCGGATGGCTTAAACTCACATCAATCCCCCTGCCTCAGCCTCCTGAGTGGTGGAATTACAGGTGTGTGCTTCCAGGCCTGGTTCATTTCATTTTATGAAACTAAAATATTAGCTTAGTAATTATGGGCTTGTTTACATCATTTTTTTCTAAGGAAAATCTTTAATTTCACTGTTTAAAAATAAATATTTTATTTGAATATAGCATACATGTAGAAAAGTGCACAGATTATAAGTGATCACCTTGTACAAACATGTTAGAAACATGTAACCATCACCCAGATCAAAGAAACATCAGCCTTCTAGAAGCCTTTAGCCACTCCTCTCTCTCCTCCTTTCCCCAAAGCATCTATCACCCTGACCTTTCACATTTTCTAGTAGGGCTGGACTTTATTATGGTGATGAGAAGTTAAGCCAGATCTCGAGCATACTAAGCAAGCACTGCATCATTGAATTACATCCCTAGCCCTCGATCTTAATATAAACAGAACCATATACTAAGCATTCTGTTGTGTTTGGTTTCCTTTACTTGATTTACATTTCTGAGCTAGGATTATAAACATCCTGCCTGTCATTAGTATATGCTTCACTTATTATTTTAAATAAACTTTAATGATAGCCACAGACTATCAGCAAAGAGTAAAATTCTGATATGAGAAAAGTTTTTCAACAATCTATTGGAATCTTATTAAAGTTGTGCTTTCTTTTGATTATGAGGTACAGAGCAGCTGAACTTTTCAGCAGTCTAGGCCTCTCCATCCTCAGCTAACCCAGAGGTTGTTGTATGCTAGGCGAGCCCTCTAGCATTAAGCTACATCTCTAGTCCACTGTCATTTTCTTTCATTTTTTGAGACAGGGTCTAGCTTTGTTGTGCAAGCTGGCCTTGAGCTCACTCTTGTGGGAGTCATCACTAAAATTATGTATATAAAGCACCTTGTGTCTAAGTTGTAGATGTGGCCCATCCTGAAGGGTCAGCTAAGAACTCTGAAAATGGAGCATGGCAGGGCTCGGAGGGAGGCCATAACATTCAAACTGCAGGATATGGGCACATTTTCTGTGCTGTTCCCAATGTTATCGACTCAAGTAAAAGATATATTTTTCATCAACTATCTTTAGGACTCCTCAAGGAAAGCCTTTGTCCTCATTAAGTATTTAAGATAGTACACTCCTAAAATAAATAAAGAGTGGTTATCAGCCCTCTCCTTGTGTGTCACAAGTTTTCTCTCATCAGAGATCAGCCCAAATATGGACTGGGGAACTACAGCTATGTAGCCTCAAAATTGTTGTGAACCTCCTGCCTCAGCCTCTCAAGTTCTGGGATTATAGGCATTTGCCACCACACCCAGCCTGTTTTTTTTTTTTTTTTTTTTTTTTTTTGTTGTTGATGGAATTGAACCCAGGACTTTGTGCTTGCCAGGCAGGCACCATGTACTGAGCCATATCCCCAGTTCTGTCATTTAAAAAGATGATTAGTTTCTGAATAAATTGTCTTTATCATCTAAATCTTGCTTTGGGGATTGAGATGTAAGGTGCTTGGTAAACTGTAAAAACACAGATGCCTGGCTTTGTTTTTGTGTTGGGTTGTATCTTGGCAATTCTGAGAGGGTGAAGCTGATTCTTTCCCTAGGATGACCTACTAGAGCTCACAGACATGAACCCAAGTAACTTCAGGTCAAGGAGGATCACATTTTGGAGGACCAGAGGCCAACAGGTAAGCAATGTTGGGGAGTGGAATTTTTATATATTCTTGTTGGACCTGTAATTTTGAGTTAGGAAATGGGATTTTCAGTTATTCCTACAGTGAGGGGGAGCTGATTCCCAGTGAGTTTGGGAATTCTATTCAAACACGCACAAGAGAAGCTCAGTTTTCTAGTTCAGCCTGGTACTACACCAGTTATGATGGCAGGGGTGAAGAAAGGGCTATTGCCTAAGGGACATTACAGTCTCTTAGGATAGGTACCATAAAATAATTAGTAAGCTGATAAGCTCACAGGCTAGCTCCACTCCAAGGGACTGAGTGAGTGCTTTAGGAGTACAGAACTGTGTGCTATCACTGCAAGCTTGGGCAGCCTTCGGTAGAAGGGATGCTTGGCAGAATGTTTGGTAGATTAGAGACGTCAGGGTCTCAGGGCTGTAGGTGACCATTTCTCTCCCAAAGAGAAAAATGGTAAAACAAAACGAAACACCAGCCAACCAAAAACCCAGCGCAGGCTCCAACCATCTCAATACTCCACACAGAAAGGGGCTCTGGATCTTCTTCAAAAAGCCATTACAACTTCTCGGCTCCCACAACCCCCTCCTTCACCACAGGCGAAGGATTTTATAAACCCATCTCTTTCCTCTAGTTGCCATGGAGACCAACCCTGGTCCTTACCGGGAACATCTCTCCAGGAGAAATGGAGAGGGCTGAGCCAAGCACGTTGGGGGATGGGTGTCAGTACACTATAGGGACGATAAAACCTATTCTAGGGACAAGTCAGCGGGTTCAAGCCTTTCTGTCCGCCGGGGACGGGCGACCACCCGCCACCAGGGCTGGGCTGGAGGAGGGCGCGAGCACGAGAAGGCCCGCACAAGGCAGCGGGGCACGACTTATAGGCATAAGGTTTCGGGGACACTGGGTACCAACCTCCCCAACCGTGGGGGTGGGTACGAGGGAGGAAGGGAGGCGGGCCCCTTCACCCACGCGACCATTGGGCGGCGCAGCCATCACTCTCCCAGGGCGACACCGCCTTCTCCTCAACCGAGCCCAAAGCCTCCCCTTCTCCGCCACTATCCGCCCCGCCCCGCCCCATCGGGGAGGGTGCTCTCATTGGGCACAGCTGCGTTCAATCTACCTCAAATTAGGAGCCCTATTGGACTGAAGGCTTTAGGGCCGCCCTCAGGCTACTCGGATTGGCTAATTGCGCATTGGCGCAACGGAAGAGGCGGGCGGCCGAGGGTGCGCCTTCTGCTTCTCTGAACTGCTGCGGAGAAGAGTTCAGCCCTGGGGGGCTGGCTAGGGCGGCAGCAGTGGCTGCTGTGCATGGGAACTGGGCGGCTCGGCGCGCCAATGGAGCGCCACGGCAGAGCCGCCGCCACCTCAGCCCGGTCCGCCGGGGAGTCAGAGCCCGGAGGCGCCGAAGAAGGGCGGCGGCGGGGTCCATTGCGACGCCGAGCGAGCAGCGCGTCTGCGCCCCCTGTCAGGGCCTCAGCGGAGAGCGCTAGGCGGGACCGGCCTGGCTCTTACAGCGGTCCTGCCTCAATCGCCCGTCAGCGCGTCGAAAACCTCCGGAAAAAGCGGCCGCGTAAGTCCCCCGCGGGGCGCCCCGCGGCTCGCCCTACCCCCTTCCGGCCGCGCTGCCGTTTTTCCCGCGCGCCGACGGGGACCCGGCCTGGTAGTCTCTGGGGTGTTGCGAGGTCTGACGCCCGGTTGGAAGGCGTGCGGCCCCCGCCCGGCTCTCGCGGCCTTCGGTCTCGCTAGTTGCGGTGCCCGGACCCTTTCTCCTTAGCTTTTTGGGCTTTCTTTCCTCGGAGAGTCACATGATTTTTATCCTCGTGAAGGCTTCTTTTGACTAATTTCTATCACCGTTTATCCCCCCCACCCGAATCCTTTGAATCGCCACTGTCCTCTGTAGGTTCCCAAAGAGCCACTTAACAAGATGTTAAGTCCTTTTCATCTGGCGATTTCCAGCTTCCAGGAAAATGGTTAGCTGTCCCCTGAGTTGCTCGAGACCTAGAACAGGCTTCTATGAACCATGCTTTTCTGAGCTTTGGCTGCTTTTCTTCCCATGAGAATTCAGGTCGTCTCACACCCAGATGTCTTCCTTTTTCCTTCCATTTATTTGCAGGTAGTCACGATTCAGGGGTGTAATATTCTGGACACTAAGGCTTTTTCTCTTGTGGGAAAACGCTATCTTGAGTTTTGTCTTGTGAGTTGCATTCGCACTTCCTACAGAATCAGTTTCACCATTTCAATACTAGATTGCCTTTTCTGCATTGTATATTTTCTGCCTTTTATAGGCCTTCACTTCTGGCTTGCTGTCTTGCAGCCATTGCTACTATGGAAAGTATCAATTGTCCTTATACTGTATATGAGCTTTTATCATGTTGCAGTGTTTTATATATAGGTAGACTTGATGATGGTTGGCAGATTTCAATTTGAGGAAATCCACTTGATTAAATGCAGATATGAGAGTGAGGGAAGGTGGCAGGATGTGTGTGAGGTCTGTGTTGGATAGGCCCAGCCACTCAATTGGTTTTCGTTGTGATTTGGATGATTAAATGCAGCTCTCGTTTTGCTGTGGAAAGTTTGGAATTTTTTAGTGCTTTCGTCTTTGCCCTTGCAAGAAATTTGTAAAACAGATTCTCAGCGTATTCCATTTTTGGAGTTGTCTGGTTTTTGTATTGTTTGAAGAGCACCTGATTTTTAGGCAGTACAAAGCATTAATTTCTTCATAGTTTTATACTACATCATTGGAGATCAGTGTAAATTCCAGAGATTGAATATTAAGAATCACAACTACCTAACTGTTGATGAGGATTTCAGAGTATTGTACTTTGAGGGTTTGCATGGGGCCCACCAATCAAGCTCTGAGGTAGGTGAGAGTGCTCCATTTCACAGAGGAGAAAACTGGGCTTCACTGTATAGTCAGATGGTTAACATGATGAAATAGAAGCGCAGAATCAGATTCTAGTTTCTTTGCTTCTACTCTTAACTATTGTGCTTTACTGAATTGTTCTGTTTCTTCATTGCTCTAAGACCAAGCACAAAGCAGTATCTTTGTGTTCAGGGCTGTGATACTTGAGGTGGAAATTGTCAGCTATCCTGCAACTGTTGAGCATGAAATTGGTATGGAGAGTTAAGAGTGTAGATTCCCAGCATCACTTTTATCTTTGGACTCAGAATCTGGAGAGGGACTGAACAAAGTGCCTCTTTAACAAGCTCCTCATGTCATTCAAATCAAGGTGATTGAAAGACTACTTTGAAAACCCTGGTTTAGTTTGTTAGGGGGTGGGCTTATTAAGTTGGTATTAGAACTTTTTTTTAACAATATTGGGGATGGAACTCAGGGTCTTCCCCTTTCTCACTGAACCCCAGCTCCAGCCCTCTGAAACTTCTTTTAAGGAACTTGATAGACACGTATAACACATTCATATTGTAGATTTTTTTTTTTTTTTGAGACAGTGTCTTGATAAGTAGTCCAGGCTGGCCTTGAATTCATTATGTAGCCCAGGCTGACTTTGAACTCAAAACAATCCTTCTGCCTCAACCTTGGGAGTGCTGGAATTACGGGTGTGTACCACCACACTTGGCTGGATTTATGTTTTTATTTGATGTCAGAATCATGTTTCCCTCATTACCTTCTCGGTGATAAACTGTGAGAAGCCAATGAGACCTGCAGAAGAAATGAATAAGGTACAGCTTATTCTTTACATTTACCCTTCCTGTGCTATCCATGGGTCACCTATTATGTGGGAAGGCAACTTGTTGCTGCTGAACTTGCCAAGAGTATACTTTTGTCTTAACTTGTGAAAGAATTCAGTGATGACTAAATCTGTCTTCGTTTGGAGTGTTGGGTGTTGAAGGGTACCATCTTCTGAGATTACAAATCCTTGTTCAGATGTCATTACACTACTTATCTAAGAGATTAGACTAATTGTCTAGAAAGATTAGATGTTATTTATTTATTTTTTTTTTCTTTTTGGTCTTTTTCGTTTTTACTGGTACCGGGGATTGAACTCACGACTGCCTGCATGCAAGGCAGGCACTTATGCCGCTGAGCTAAATCCCCAGCCCCTGACTAGATGTTATTTGAAATAGAAGATAATTCAGTTTTTCTTAGCCCTGGTTCTTGTGGCCCTGGTTGTAGTTATATTCTGTCACACATGTCCCTGAAAGAGTGTGTTTCCCAAAGTTATTGCTATTCCAGACTATTTGTATCAGAATAATTATGGATAAGGCTAGGTGTATGTGTGTCTTAAGAAAATTTTCAAAAGTTTTGGATAAGGCCAGGGGTATGTCTCACAGGACAGAGAAGTACTAAGTAAAAGATAGGTTAGCAATCATGGGAATGAGGCTGGGGATTTAGTTCAGTGGCATAAGCACCTGCCTGGCAAGCTCGAGGTCCTAAGTTTGATATCCAGTACCAAAAAAAAAAAAAGGAACATGGACTGGAGAGGTAGCCTAGTGGTACAGGACTTTAATGTGGCTGGAAGTCCTGGGTTCTTTCTGCCTGTCTCTTTGAGACAGGGTTTTGCTGTATTGTTAGTACAGATTGGCTTTGAGCTTGTGATTCTCTTGCCTTTGGTCCGAATGTTCTGGGATTAAGGATGTGTGCTAGCATGGTTTGTCTAGATTGAATGTGGGTCTCCCCCCAACCTCCAGTTCTGGGAATTGAACCCCAGGAGCTTGAATATGCTGGGTTCTACCACTCATCCACACCCAATCCTTATATAGCTAGTATTTTTTGAGTGCTTGTTTGTTAGACACTGCCAAACAGTTTATAAACATTTCACTTAGATCTCAGTATTACTCTATGAAATAGTTTTCCTTTTTAATCCTTTCATTTCCAGATGAAAAAACAGGCTCAGTGAAATTGTTCCTCTGTCCAAGGCCATGCAACCCTTGAACTTGTCTGCCTCAGTCTGTTGAGTGTCGGGATTGCATGCATGCATCATGTCAGGTTATGTTTTTGGTGAGGTCTAGGGTCAGAACCCAAGACCGACTGTGTGTTAGGCAAGTATCTGTACTATATCACTGAGCACTTTATTAGCCTGGAGCTTGATTTTGATTCTGACCTCAGATGCACTGTTCTTGGTCCACATTTTGGGATGGAGAGAAACAAATGTAATCTAGAGCTATAGTTCTCACTTTATACATTAAATTAATTTATTTTTGGTCTCTTTGAGACAGAGTTTCATATGCAGGCTGGCCTTGAATTCACTTTGTAGCCCAGGCTGAACTTGAACTTGGAAGGATCCTCATGCCTCAGCCTCCCAAGTGCTGGAGTTGCAGATGTGCACCACCACACCTGGCTTTACTTTTTTAACATTTTATTGAGGCAAGAATTACATACAATAAAAGCCACAAGAGAGTATACATTTTTATCAAGGGTCCCAGATGTGCTGCAGATGTGCAAGAGGTATGGGATCACAGTGTGGAAACAGCTGGTTCTCTTAAATACTATGTGGCACAGTAGGGAGATCATTGAGACTTGCTGAGTTTGGACTTATGCCAGTCATGGGATAGCATTAATCTTGTTAGTCTTGAAGGTAAAACTGTTTGTAGTGTGGCAATAGTAAGTTAGAAAAGAGAGTTGTTTTTCTTTGGGTTTTGGGAAAGCATCCAGCTTGGCACTGGGGCTTAGACTGCACTTAATAGGGATTTCAGTATTTCAGCTTATAGTTGAAGAATTAGGAAGAGTTTACTGCTCACTAGATAGATGATCAGGAGAAAAGTCATGTTCTTGTGGCCCATTTTTTGAGAAAGAGTTGCAGAGGTTTTATATATATATATATATATTTTTTTTTTTTTTTAAAGAAAATATTTTTTAACTTACTGTTTTATCTTTTTTTTTCCCTCCCATTTTTGTGGTGCTGGGATCAAGCATTGTTATATGACACTATACCTCTAGTTCTTGTTTCACCACCTTTAAATGAAATCAAAATAAATATGACCTCCTCATCTTGGATGTATAGCAAATGTAAAGCATTTAAGCAGGGCCTTAAAATTGTCTAATTATACAGCTGTGTAAAATATTACAGCATAGGGGGCTGGGGATTTAGCTCAGCGGCATAAGCGCCTGCCTTGCAAGAAGGCAGTCGTGAGTTCGATCCCCGGTACCGATAAAAAAAAAATGTTACAGCATATTATTTTAGGCCTGTGTGTATGAATCATGTACCATATTTGGATACGGTGGTTTTTTCCTTTGCCCTGTATGGTGAGATCACCTAGAGATAATATGCTATTAAATATTTTTTGCAGCACTTATTAGAAAAGGAAAAAGATAATTGACTGTAGCTGCTGGAGACAATCTTATCAGGCAGTGAAAGAAATAGCTATTTTATGATCATTTGAAAGAGCAGTGATGTTTATTGGACAAGTTTGTAATAAACTGAGCATTTGTCAGGTTCATCACTTGGAGTATCTGTCTTCAGATACTGTTCTTGGTAAATATATCTCAGCAAGACTGATTAAGTTAATTTTTCAAATTAAGGTTTGAAGTTTCCTTTTAAAAGTGAAAGCCCTCTCAGACACGAACTGAGCCCTACAGTAGTCTTACTGTAATGTGTTTATATTTTCTGA